GGACAACAGAAAAGTGGGTGAAGGGAGACATCAGACAGTGTAAAATATGACAAAATAATCATTTATAAATTATCAAGGGTTCATGAAGGAGGGGGTAGCGGGGAGGAAGGGGGGGAAATGAGGAGCTGCTATCAAGGACTCAAGTAGAAAAAATGTTTTGAGAATGATGATGGCAACAAATATATAAATGTGCTTGACACAATGGATGGATGGATGGATTAGATAAGAACTGCACGAGCCCCCAATAAAATGATTAAAAAAAAATTTTTTTAAAGAAAAAAATTCTGGCTCAAATGCCTTCAATGGTAAATTCTACCGAAAATTCAGAGAAGAGGTTGATAACAATTCTACTCACACTATTCCAGAATACAGAAGTGGGTAAAGAACATTTGAATTCTAAGTAAGCATAACCTTGATATCAAAAACCAAGTAAAAACACCAATAAAAAAGAAAGTAACAATTATCTTACTGACAGATGTAAAAACATTAAAAAAAAAAAGAATTTTAAACCTTAGCGAATAAGATCCTACACAATATTAAAAACAGGAACACATCATGACCAAATGAGATTCATACTAGGTTTCTTAAACTGGGTTCTAAAGAAGCACATCAGTGAAACTTAAATACATATATACTGAAAGAAATTTATCCAAAAAAGCTTACACAGTTATAGTACTGAAGCAAGTTCCAAGTTCAGATAAGTTTCAAGTCCATGGGTTAGGTATTAGGCAGGAGGCTTCATCGGACTGAGGGTCTGATCCAGTCAAGGTCAGCAGAACAGGCTTGAGGCTGCAGAAGTGAATGAATCCAAGGTTAGTAAGTGAAGCTTGTGGCTGTAGAAGGGAAGGAACCTAAGGTTGGTAACTCAGGTGGCAATTGCTGATGATTCCCAAGGATGATTGGCAAGCAAAATGGCATACTATTGGTTCAAGTCTAAAGAACGAGAGCATCGCAAGTCAAAGGCAGAATCCAGACACAGTAAAAAGCAAGCTTTTCCACAGTGTACAGTCCTGAGACAAAAAAAACAACAACAACAAAAAAACAACCCCAAGCTGCTAGCCAATAAAATATAAAACAATTTTTAAAAATTATAACTAAGATTCATTCTAGCTATCTTAGGCTAGATTCTCTACAGAAACAAAACTAATGGAGCCTATATATATATATATATATATATATACACAGAGCCTTAGAAAGCCTTGGGTGTTGTTGGGCTTCCAATCATAAGGTCAACAGTTTGAAACCACCATCTACTCCACGAGAGAAGATGAAGCTTCTACTCCCATAAAGATTTATGGCCTGAGAAACCCTAGAAAAACAGTTCTACTCTGTCCTATATGGTTGCTATGAGTCAAAATTTACCCAATGGCAGTGAGAATTTTAGTTTAACTGCCAAATCCTAGCGAATCCTGGTCCAGCCAAGTTGGCATAAAATATTAACTAATACACAAACTGGAATATACATACACAGAATGCAATATTAATGAATAAAAATGAATTCATGAAACACCACATAAATTAGAGGAACCTGGAAGAGGAAAAACTAAGTGAAGTAAGTCAATCAAAAAGTTTCAAACAGGAGGAGAATCAAGGGAAATAGAGGAAAGAGCTGGGAGGCAATGGGCATTTATAGAGGTCTAGATAAAGACATGTACATATGCAAATACATTTATATGAGGATGGGGAAATAGATCTA